GCTCCGTTTCCTTTCAACTCAAAAGGCTGCATCTCTGACGGATCTTTTATTTGGCTCAGCTTCCTTTCAATTCAGAAAACTGCATCTCTGACGAATTAATTTAGCTCAGTTTCTTTTCAAAAGTCTGCATCCCTGACGGATAATTATGCTCAGTTTCCTTTAATTAAAAAAATATCCCATTTTCATTTGGAATAAACAGGCTATTTTCATGCTTTCCTATACGCTGCGTTTCAAAACATTTAAATAGGCTGACGAATCAATTTTATCAGTTTCCTTTTAATGGCTGCATCTCTGACAAATCTATAAAACTCAGTTTTCTTTCAATTCAAAAATCAATGGATAGTTCATTTCTCAGTGACCATGCGGGCGAAGCCGCGGGTAACAGCTAGTATAAATATATAATTGTAGTCTCTGTAACATTGAAATAACTGGTATCTTTTAAACTCACGGGTAAAGATGTTTTATAAGTACAGATACCGCCTAAAACGCTTCCGTTTAAAAAGTGCCAGTATTGGCATATTCGTTCCATCGTTCCGCCATTACGCCAGCAACACAGAGTACTTTAAATAATACGAAAATTATTCAAAGTACTAGAATGTGTGTATGAGGATATACTCGTACACAAATGCACACGCACATATGAATGAAATATAAAATCTCCCAAATTTTTGGGTAATCGATTCGCACTATTATTACCGAAGTCACGCACATTAATGCAGGCATGGTACGTAAGATATGCGCGTAACATGGTCTCAGGAACACATGAATCAAAGACTGGCGTCACTGTGAACGGTGCGATGTGTTAGTAGCAACACGGTATCTGGACCTACAAAATATCTTTGCTCACGGGGATATTGGCATGCTATCAGGACACGCACAACTATTTTTATAAAAGCTTGTCTGTCTGTCTGTCTGTCTGTACGTCCGGGATAATTTTCCTAATAGCTGAACCGCTTGTGATTAAACTTTACCAATGGGGCTATATATTTTTTAAATTATTTAAAAAATATTAGCAATGTTATAATCATTACTGATATACCCTTTAAGTAGTTTGAATCCACCACCTTTTCAATTCAAACCCACGACCTTTTGAGTTCGCGGTCTGGACCCTGCCATTAGGCTACTGTCGCTTATAAAAAGTTTTTTTTTTTTTTTGTAAAAAAAATAGAATAATCATTGATTATCTTATAGATCCCATCCAATAAAAGATGGACCGGGTCGCTAGTATTACATGAAGAGAAAACTTTGTACCCCTTTTATGTGAAACGCATAGTTGTCTAAGTCTAAGGCCAAGGTCAAGCAATATTATGTGTATTTCATTTTTCTCTTTAAATGTGACCGTATATACTATGTAGTTTTAACTTAGAATGAAAAGATTCTATCTACATAGTGTATAGTTTAAATCGCAAAAATATTGTGTGACTAGAAGTAGCCTTAAGTAGATAGGAATGGCGATTGCAACAAAGCTTTTCCACCACGGGATAGGGCAATGTTCTACTTATGGTTTTATCCTAATTATTTATAATATAAAACAGTAATACTAGGGTACCGAAAATGAAGCTCACCAAAAGCAATTGTAGCCTCTAGACTCATTTGCTCATGAAGCTGTCGAATAATGAGACTATACACACGTTCTTCTCCGTTCACGCTGACGACATTTAGTTTTTGTTAAAAAATTAAACCAACTTGACAGAATGTCAGAGGACAAAGGATGGAAAAAAGAGAGAATGGTGAATAGACGCTGGCATGATGCGCTGGCAACGCTTTATAAGAGAATCGTAAGGGCGCAGTCAACAACAGTGTAGTCAGCAATTAAATATAGTCGCACAATAGTGTGTGGTCAAACGGTGGCACAGGTAGAAATTGTCGCCAAATAATTTTAAAACTATGGAGTGTAGAGGTAAAGAGTACAGACTCTGTATAAAAAGTGTCCGTGGGCAAGCGCTAAATAAGGCTGGCGCCACTGTAGCTACGGTCTAAATTTTAAAGAATATTTATAATTTTTTTATTGCACAGACTTTCACCATAATTCCTTTTACAATAATTATATTATTGCTATCAAAATTTTTATTTTCAAAACCACTCTCAACGTATATTACGGTGATTTATCATATCCTGCAGCTATTAGAGCGCTGTTGTGGAGAGTTTTTGAACGGTTATTTACTGCTTACTGATGGACACATTTTCAACTATTCTCCTATGGGAGATTGTCCTCCTTACCCCTATACTCCATGTTTAAAACGTTGCTAATAATAATTACAGGCAGAATAAGCTGTGAGTTTTGCGATTACAAATGTTCTTTTTTCAATAGTCAATAGAGCGATACCTAATTAGCTAATCGGTGAAGCCGATTAATCGGCCTTTTTGTAGTCACCGATTAGTCTATATATTATCAATAACTTGCATTATTGCATTTGGTAAGCAAACCATTCGTGAATTTTTCATTAAATATATCTTATATTAAGAAACATTTTTTTATTTTTATCGCGTGTAGAGCGTTTATATCGATGCGATGGGATCACGTATAGGATATATTGCGTAAGCATCAGTTGCTTGGCATAAAGTTTACAGTTTTTTTTTTACCGACACAATTTAACGCCGTCAGTAAATATCGAACAGAGCTGCTGAAATAGGACGCCTGTGGTTTAGTACGTCGTAAATCTGTCTCTACGGGACACACGGGTCGGTATTAGCTAAAAAAATTCTCTAACGTGCATATTAGTTCTTATACAAACTCTAGTGGACTGGGAACCTCAATAAATTTTTCGTAGACGTTCAATTAGCTGATGTTCGTGGTGAACAGCGGTCATTATGGACCGGAATGGCTTCTATTTTAATAAATTATGCTGTTGTTACATATTATTCAATTCAGTTTTCTTCAAGATAAATTTAATTAACTATCTTCCCCCTTATTTTTTCAAATTCCAAAGGTGTTTATATTTTTTTAACTTTCGGGCATACTTTTGCGAGTTTAATGTGGGAATATTTTTATAGGAGATTGGAGATTAGAGCACTTTAGATTAGAGCACTCCCCGTGTTAGTTGCGATAAAATACGCAAAGAGATGCAACATCCCCCCGCAGTGCCAATCAGAAATAGCTCGGTCGACGATTCGAACCGCTCTGTGCTGGATGCGATCAAATGGAAGGAGCTATATTTTAAAGCGTTGAAAGTTTTTGAGTTTAAATCTAGCAAATTAAATATAGCAGCGCAAGTCGTGAGCACTAAATGACAGTATTGTGGACAAATTTGGTCGTGTACTTCTGCCAACCAATATATTACAAGCTATTTACACGTGAATAGACAATAGATGAGACGGTTAACTGATGGACTAATCACGTGAATAAATGTACACCGTTTCCACCATGCTGCCCCTGTACAGTATATACCAATGTACACCAATGGCCGGCCCATTGATATTTCAGCTTATTGATCTGTTCCACTATGTGGGTTAAACTGATTCTACTGTAGATATCCTCATTTCTAAATATTTTACGTAGATAATCTCTGAGCATAGCCCTGTCCAAAGGTTGCTGAGCGACCTTAAGCTTTGATTAAAACTACTTTTACGGATTTTATCGCGTTTATTTTTACTTTTTATTTACTTTTATTTTTAATTTTTAATTCCCGACGTTTCGGGCGCTTTCCAGCACCGATGGTCACGGGGGACTGGGTGCTGGAAAGCGCCCGAAACGTCGGGAATTAAAAATTAAAAATAAAAGTAAATAAAAAGTAAAAATAAACGCGATAAAATCCGTAAAAGTAGTTTTAATCATGTATAGTGTTCGCGTAAATATAAGAGACCTTAAGCTTTGTCATATGGCTATCAGAAAAGGACCACTACTCAGATCCATATGTCATTAATAGCAACACACTGCGTCCCAGCGCCCAGCGTAATCTGTCTATTTCTTTAGGTAACATCCAACTTCTCGTCAGTTCTCAGGCTACTTGCGTTACATGTTACCAGTCCGAGTTGTCTATGGTTACAACCGAACCTCCACCGAAGATTCCTAGCATAGCCTAGCATAACAAAGCCCCGCCGTTACCATGGTCGCTACCATAGCCAGAAATAGCGAGGCCCCCGAGGACTGGGCTGTTTCCTTATGACCGTACTCATGGGGGCCTCATTTGCAATAGTTGCCAAGCTTAGCAGGGTGGACCACCGTAGTTTTATTTTATTTTTCTAGATGTTATTAAGAAGAGGGTGCTGCCAATCTTATTATGTGTTTCGCTCTATAGCCTCTTATGACATCGGCAAGAAGATATGGAGTAGTGCAATTATAACAACTGCCATTACACGGTATCCGGCACGACCAACGCCACCGGCAAGGCTGAAACGTCCTGTGATGTAAAAAAAAATCTTGTAATAATTTAATTTATTTTCAAAAGATTGAATTTATTTTAAACCTCATATTCATTTTAATAATAACAAAAATTCCATATAAGTTTCCGTTCTCGGAATAAGAGAATTCAACAGGGTTTAGAAACCTGCACTTTCATGGGTCCTCTTATGTTACTTTATCTGACACTGCCCTCGGGACGAAACTGAATGATTTTCAAGCTTAGTCTATATCGCATTTGTTTATAAGATAGACAAAAATCATTCCGATAACACATAATATTATTTTCAAAATCCTATATAGACATTGCAACATAAAACAGGTTTACGATATAAATAAAATTGAAATATGTACAGCTTTATGTGACATCAATTCATGGTTACTGGCATGTGTTCAGCTGCGATGAGTGAGTCACAATATTTCTTCTATACCGGTAGTTCAAACAAAATTGAAAATTTGTTACCATTATTGCCTCACCTATCATCTACTAATATAAGAAACTGCCCGTTCCGTTGCGGTCATACATTTAAGACGTGTCAAATCACATGTTTAAAAAAAAGTATGTTCGAATAACTTCCACTTTTGGGTACTGGCCTCCTCTCATTACTAAGACAGTTTTGGGACAGGGAAGAGCCACGCAGGTTCACAACTTAAAAATAACTTGAAAATAGCATCAAAGGCTGAATTAGCTTGTGTTTACTCCGCTCTCATCTTGGTTGATGATGATGTCGCCGTTACTGGTGAAAAGATCTCCACTATTCTTAAAGCCACTGCCGTTGATATAGAGCCGTATTGGCCAGGCTTATTCGCAAAGGCTTTGGAAGGTATAAATGTGCGTGACCTCATCACAAACATCGGATCTGTAGTTGGAGCTGCCCCTGCGGATGATATGGGCTTCGGTCTCTTTGACTAAAAAGCTTCACCTTAAAGCTGTGGTATTCCATTGTAAGCTTTATGAAGCTTGTGTAATTACAGTGTTTTTTACCGCTGGGTACATAGTACTTCGATGCTTGAAATTAACATTTTATTGGTGCCGGTGGAGTTTACGAATATGTATAATATACATATAGAAATTTCCCTGCGCTGTTCTACCATGGCTTATAATTCACATATTTTGAAACACAATTTTTGTAAGCGTCTTGTTTTCGAATGCTCATCTGCTGTAGTTGTTACCGCAGTGAAGCCATAACCTCAATAATGAAGGTGGATAGTGAGTGGCAAACGTAAGCATGTATTTTCGCCACTTCGACTATAAATATAAAGTAACAAATCTAGCGTAGAGATGCGAAGCACGCTTAGAAAATAATATATACAAGTTACATAGAATAATTCTTCTAGTAATGGCTATCGAATTCGCTTAGTACTGCCTGATATAAATTTCTATCGCCTCATTTTGAGTACGTCATCTATTACTGAAGCATGTTGTTCTTACATCCTTCATTTACCGATGGATCTGTCATTGCTTCCCACCCTGCGTATATTGTGCTATTATTAAAAAAATACAAAAAGGGATACAAGGAGGGAGGAAAATACCTAAGGAGTTTCTTTTGCCGTTTCTTCTCCGACCAGAGAAACCTCAACTCACCTCTACTAAGAAAGAATACACTAGCCTAACCAAGGAAAAAAGGTTATACTGACAGCCGCGTTCCGCATAGGTTCCGCATATAAATTTAAAAAAAAATCTATTCGTTAGCACGGGAAAGTAAAAAACGAAGTTTTTAACGTTATTCGTTTTATTTTATTGACATTCTAATTTTTTGATTATTATACCTTTTATATTTAATCAAAATTTTAGAGGAATACATAGATAACTGGAATGTATATATATGCCTTGATTTTACGTGGTTGAGCCATGCTGCAGCTATATTATAGTTGTAGCACGAATGGGTCGGCTTGACTGGGGAAGGGCCACGCGTCACACGTCACGTCACGTCACAGATGCCAGCGTAAAACAGCAGCTTCATAATGTTGTTTTTCGTATGGTGAGTGTAGAGAACCGGAGACCCATTTTACTAGACAGGTGGCATTCCATATCATATCTCAGGGGTGACAATTCATCTGCAGTTTGATTCGTAATTGAGAATAGATGTAGATGTCTATGTGCCACAGCATCCACTTACTATTAGGTAAACTGTGTGCTCGTCAATCATCCTTATTTTATTAAAAAGTCTAATCGTAGAATTGAGAAGATTGTAATCTGCATAAACTTTTCTTGATACACCACCATTTCATGTTATTTATAGTTATTTTAAGTATTGTAAGTATGTGTGTTTATAAATATTTTTGAATAAACATTTGGCCATTAACAAATGGCTTCATGAATTTTCTAGATATTATGGATGTAGCACGAATGGATCGGCTTCAACGGGGTAGGACCACGCTTTCACAGAATACCTCCATGAAATAGCAGCTTAATGCTGCTGTGCTTCGTATGGTGGGTGTAGAGAGCCGGAGGCCCTTTTTACTGGAAACGAGGCATTCTATCTTAGTCTACAGGAGCGACAATGCATCTGCATTTTTATTCTTAATGGAGGATAAATATAGATGTATATGGGCCACAGCATCCACTTACCATCAGGGGGATTGTGTGCTCGTTTGTCATCTTATACTATAAAAAAATTGAAGAATTGGTGGAACGACGTATGTTACATTTTATGGTAATAATAACAATAGAATGTTCGCAAAAGAGCTGGTAACAAACACAAAGTAGGTAAGAATTTAAACTATTGATAATCAATGTCCATTGTGTTGTAGATTATTCAGAGAATGCTATACTGAAAAAGATAAATTGTCAATATCAACTGTTCGCCTCCATTCCAATAAGCAAATACCAATAACTATCAACAAATAAACACCATTTACATTTTGTTTTGCTTACAAATATAAAATCGAGTGTTTTCAATAAATGCTCTTTGTATTTTCAATTTTAAATAAATAAAGTGAATGCAAATTCCTTGTTAGCGTTATCATCTAAAGTAAAGCTTAAATATTATGTGACCTGATAGAAAATAAGTGACCTTTCATAATGAGAATGCATAAAGGTTTTTACAGGTCATAAAATATTTATAGACAAACCTTTGTCTTTTTTTCATAATATGTAGCTAAAAAAACAAAAAAGTCGAATATCTCTAGTTTTTCCGGATTATAGACCTATCTCTATTTTGCCTTTCTTTTCCAAAGTTCTAGAACGGCTTGTGCACAATCAATTAAGCGCCTATCTTTTAAAACATCATCTTTTAAATTCGGTTTCCGCCCGTCTATAGTACGGCTATTTTGACTTGTACAAATCACCGATGACATTCAGTATGGTATGGATAAACAAAAGCTTACCCTTCTTACGTTGCTAGTTTAAGTAATGCATTTAATACTGTACATTTTGATATCTTGTTTAGCATCCTGCGCTTTTTCAACATATTTCCAACTGTAGTTGACTGGTTACTTGTTTGGCAGACAACGCATTCAGGTGTAAGATATTTTTTCCATCTCTCTTTTCCTCTATACAATTTTCGTTAACTCCATAAGTCACAATTTGATCTCTTACTACCACGTGTATGCCGATTATCTGCAAATCAATATCCAGTCCTTACTTGAAAGTTTGTCTAAAACCGTTGACAATATTAACGCTGATCCGACTTGTATTTTGAACTGAAGTAAATGTAATGGTTTAACGATTAATACTAAGAAAAATCAGACTGTTGTCATTGGTAGTTCTAGATTAATTGAAAAAAATGAATGGTCTTCCATACCTCCTATTATACTAGACTGCACTCAAATCCCTTACAGTAACAAGGTTAAAAACCTGGAATTGTGACTCAACTCCTGTATGTCTCGGATCTCAAATGTTAATGAAGTTAGTAGAAAAATGTTTGCTGCGTTGAGCTCTTTACGGAGATTACGTAATTTTCTTCCCATAATAACTAAAGTTACGCTCGCTCAGTCTTAACTTCTATCTGTCGTTGACTATGCTGATATTTGCTATCTTGACATTACCGAAGAGCAGCTTAATAAGCTTGAGCGCATTCAAAGTTAATGTATTAGATTTATGTTTGAGCTTCATAAATATGGTCACATCTATTAATTTTGCAAACAGCTCTAATGGCTCCCGATTCGCTTTCGCAGGAATACTCACATGCTCTCCGCTTTGTATGGCGTGTTGTTTAATCGTTCCAATCAATTCTGTTCCCCACTCCTCATTATTTAAAAGATCGTTTGCAGTATCTTTCCCTTACACATAATCGGTATCTTCGATTCTCTGTCTATCTTTGTCTCTTTATTCCTTTGCACTCTTCTCCCCTTTTTAAGAAATCGTTTACTGTAACTGTTGTGCGTTTGTGGGACTTTTTACCTCTCCACATTTGTCGTGCTGAATCTCTTCATTCTTTCAAAAGCCTTGTTAAATCTTATAACAAAGATAAATTACTTTTCTATATATCATTAAATTATATATACTTTTCACTTGTATTTTCATATTTATTTTTGTACTACCCCCCTCTATTTCGACTATTGTTTGCATCAATTCTCTACGCAAAGATTGACTGGAAGAGATTACTTTCAGACAAAGACTGATAAGACCGCATGTTATAGATATTATACTTTAAGTTTATCTTTACTCGTTATGCTGTATTTTATTTTAAGAACATGGGATTCTTTATCATTCATTGTTTTTGAATCTAGAATATGTATCGAATGCTCAGGTGTACCGAATTACGTAAATAACCAACAGTTTTCAGTTACTTTCACAAAGTTATTAGAGGCATTTGAATAAAATATAATGTCGACATAGTCATTCAGCGTCTTTACAAGATTTTATACGTTTTAAAACCACACTGCAGCTATATTATGCACCACGCCCTCATAGAATACCAACGTAATATAGCAGCTTAATGCTTCCTTTGAGATCCTTTTTACTGGAAACGAGGCAGCCGTTTTGGTCGTCAGGGGTGAAAAACGCATCTGCAGTTTGATTTTTCATCAAAGATAAATGTAGATGTATATGAGCCACAGCCAACAGCATCCACTTACCATCAGGTGGTCTATGTGCCCGTTCGTCACCCTTATACTATAAAAAAGAGGTGTTACCGTCGTGCCTCGGCAAAATGAGGACTGCAAAGACCCATTTGTGCTTATATGGCTATGGATGCATCATAAAACGGTGCTAGATCTGGATGTATCCTATGAATTACCATCACAACCTATCAAAAGTCCACTGCTGAATACAGAACATCCCAATAGAAAACCTCATAGGGAATACATTTGCCCTAGTTACCTCGCCTGGGATTCAGGAAGGCAACTGCAGTTTTTATTGCATTGAGCTGTTACCACAACGATGTTTCTGCTTACATTCTGTTTCATTTCCCTCTATCGTCGCTGACGCATAAACGGACCGATATAGTGTAATTATTTAATAATTATAAGTGTAATTACGTAATTTACGTAATTTTAGTGTAATTTTTGGTAGTGAATATTCTTATACCGCAACTAATTATCTATAATAAATGTGCTATACACAAAGAGTTATATGGCCCGTAAATTGACGCACATGAAATGGTTAATAAAAAATTGTCGTGCATAGACCTCGGATATTGCAAAAACGCGTTTGGAGAGCTCATGAAGTACCGCCCCGGGCACAAATGCAGAAGGCGGAGCTCTTTGATGTCGCCTGCATCGCCCGCCAATTACTTTTCCTTTCGCCCTAACCCTAAGCCGCTTAGTCTGATTGGGTTTTTATTTATTTTATACGTAGTATTTTATTCATTATCATATACACTTACGCCTGCTACACAAAGGGGAAGGCAAAGACTACGGACTTCTATTTTATTGAATATTTTATTTTATCTTAATAACCCTTATTTTATAAATTTATGAATCCCAACCAGACAAGATTAATACTAAAATATCCCATGATAATATTTA